GTAGTTTATTAAGGTAGAGCTGTGTTTATGCATGGAGAAACCTGCCATTGCAGTTAGAGCTTAGTAGAATTGACTTGCTTGTCCAGTCTTGTTTGGGAAGAAACAAGAGAAAGTCGTGACATTTGGCTTTTTGCACAAATATAATGCATTGCTTCTGTAACCCAGCAGCATTATTCACTGATGCCAATGGATCACAATTTAAACCAGTCATGTGACTTAAAACTGAATCTTGCATTAAAGGTACACAGCAGGCTAACGTCTTAATCTCTGAAGTGTTTATAGTGCCTGGTGTCCCCTGGCCCCATCCTTCCATGAAGTATTGCATTATTTTTGTTTATCATCATTTATTTAAAATATTTATTGAGATTATTGAACATATCCAGGGGTACAAAAAGCAAAGTGGGCTGCAGATTCTGTGTTCAGTCAAGGGGAGTGTTAGCTGACTGCATTCTGCCTGTCAAGGCACCCAGTGAAGGTATGAATTGGTATGGCTAGAAGGCAATGTGTGCACATTGCCTTCGCCTTACCTCCAGTGGTGGCTGGGCTGTGGGTGACTAGGGACCCTCACTGAGTGTCAGGGGGCTGCAGGCACTATAACAAAATTGTATGGTACCTACAGTGTCTATTTAGGCAATAGAATGTGAGAACTGTTAATGTTTCAATAGGTATTGAGCTGGTCGTGCAGTTTTTAAGGCTTTGTTAAACACATTTGTATTCCCTTTACCTGTCTCTTGCACTACCAGTCTGGATATGTTAACGTTTTAGGCTGTTTTGGGGCTTGTAGTAAATACATAACTAGATGGCCATTTGTAGGTGTTCCAGAGCCAGTTTCAAATATCTTTAGAATTCTTGAACCATTTTAGAATTAGTAACGTGACATAAAATGTATTTACTGTTGAATAACAATAGTAAGTCGCTTTTGCTAGTTATTGGTGAATGGAGGCTCTTGGGGGTCTTTGCAGGAATTCCCTCCTAACTCCGGTATTCAGTAACTGTGCTTGGCTGGTGTTTGACGTCATCGTGGGCATTGTTGAATTAATTTGATGTCACAGATATTGGGCGGTAAGCACATAGTATTAATTGCTTTTTATGTTATAGAACTACAAGTCCCATGATGCTTTGCTTGCGTTTTTTTCCCGGGATGGCATCATGGATGTTGTAGATCTGTAACAGCTGCCCTTTGGTTGCCTGTTATTAAAGGACCACTATAGTGCCAGGAAAACATACTCGTTTTCCTGGCACTATAGTGCCCTGAGGGTGCCCCCACCCTCAGGGACCCCCTCCCGCCCGGCTCTGGAAAGGGGAAAGGGGTAATAACTTACCTTTTTCCAGCGCTGGGCGGAGAGCTCTCCTCCTCCTCTCCGCCTCCGTTACGCCCCGCCGGCTGAATGCGCACGCGCGGCAAGAGCTGCGCGCGCATTCAGCCGGTCTCATAGGAAAGCATTTACAATGCTTTCCTATAGACGCTGGCGTGCTCTCACTGTGAAAATCACAGTGAGAAGCACGCAAGCGCCTCTAGTGGCTGTCAATGAGACAGCCACTAGAGGCTTTGGGGGAAGGCTTAACCCATTCATAATTATAGCAGTTTCTCTGAAACTGCTATAATTATGAAAAAATGGGTTAACCCTAGAAGGACCTGGCACCCAGACCACTTCATTAAGCTGAAGTGGTCTGGGTGCCTAGAGTGGTCCTTTAAGCGTTTTGTTTGGCAGACTGACCAATAGCTTAGATTCCGCTTCTAAGCGTTTTGTAGAGTAGGTTTTTGTTTGGATCATCTACATTTACCTATTCTGTGTTTTATTGTGTGCACAAACCTTGATACTTTGTCACAAAGACAGAATTCTTTACAGACCCATCCTCCACCATGGGAGTTTTCCCTGAGTCTCAGCTGTTACTGTATGTACTCTGCATCCTGATGGAATGGATTTATTTAATCTGGAATTCAGTCAGCCAGTTAATAATTTATAATCCCAGCTCTTTTTATAAATTTACCTTGCACCTTGGATAATCGTGTGTTGTGTTGTGTTTTTTTTTTTTTGTTAAAGCATTATTATAGTTTTAGTACATTGGGTTTGAAGACAATAAATTCTAAGATAAAAGGATTTAAAAACAAAAAATGACAAATTTGTCAAAAGGTTTTTTTTTGGTTTGTGTTTTTTTTAGACTCAGAAAATGTTTAGAGTTGAGCCTAGTGCATTGTGTTTTGTGGAAATGTTATATATCTTAGGTTTAAACTGTGATGGGTTTAGGAGCCATGGACCCTGACACTGTCATGGTAAGAAAGCAAACTTACATGAGCATTTCTTATCTACTGTTCTGTGAATAGCCTTCCAGACCCTGCGGGAGCCCCTACTGTATATGGTTAAAGTTCAATTTACAGAGCAGGAGACAAAACCTTCTAAAGCAAGTTAACATCTGATCGAAAATTAAACAATTTGTTTCACATCCAGGGGAGGTGTGGCTAGGGCTGCATAAAAAGAAACAAAAGTGATTTAACTCCTAAATGGCAGAGAATTGAGCAATGAGACTGCAGGGGCATGATCTATAGCAGGGGTAGGCAACCTTTTAGCAGCACTGTGCCGAAATATGATTGTGATGTCCCGTAGCGTGTCGGTCCGATTTCTTTAAATTGAGGTGTGTATGCTGCCGTATTCTGCTTGTGTTATTTATACTGCAGTTGGTTTGTATCGTTGTATTTTTGCTATTATATTGTATATGTTTACAAGTAGTTTGTGGTGTTGTGTATGATACATATGAATGTAGGCTGTGTAGGAGGCTGCTTGTGGAATTGTGTGTGGATGGATATGTCACATTGTGTGTTTGGTAGTGTGTGTATGCCATTTGCATGTGGAGTTGTGTGCATGTATGTGGATTGTTGGTGGTGTTGTGTTTGTGCGGACTGTGTGCGTGTTTGTATTATTTGTATGAGGGGAGGGTTATTCTGCAGCTCTAAAGCTTCCCTGGGTTTTAGTGGGGTCCAGGCTGGCCAGGTACAGCTCAAGGACAGAAGCTGCAACAGGAAGCTGTGGGCTGCTCTACTCCAGTGTGGATTCCTATTCACAAGTGCTGGGAGGAAGTGATCTGAGATTACTTCCTCTATGTGCTGCAATGCATAAATGGAGGATTGTCCTTCACCACCTTTTCGTATTAGCAGATATCTGAAGTTTCACTGGGACTCCTGACAGGCCAGAGCCTGTTTGGCTCTAGCAGCCTTGAGTGCCGTGCAAAGACACCTCGAGTGCCGTGCATGGCACTAGTGCCGTAGGTTGCCTACCCCTGATCTATAGTGTCCCTTTAGTAAATCATTTCAAATGTTTACAGCTGTTGAATCAGGCCAGTTATGATGCCTATTTTTTTTTTTCTTTTTTTCTGCATAATATTCTTTTGGCAGACTCATGTGCCTTATGGGCTTCTCTCATCCTGGAAGCAATGTTTTAAAGATAACGTGTAAATTTAGTTACCTGTAGGGGGTTGTGAAACAAAAACGAGGGAGCTTAACGCTTGCAAGCTGTTTAACATTCAGGCTTTTCCTTTGATTGCATACAGAAATAAAGCCTATTTTAAGGTAGAATATACCCTATGTGTACACAATATGAGCATGTAACGCATTAGAAAAGAAAATACAAAATAAAGATTCAATAATTCTCAGTGCATTTCAGATGGAACACTGACACGCTGATATAAAGGCTGTGTTACACGGCAGTGTTTAACTCATGTCATTTACATTTTTACATTAATATTTTATAGAACGCTAGACCGCTGAGAGTCAGCAGACTGTGCCATCCGTGGACGTTTGCTAATGCTTGATATAACAG